TACTTCAGTGAGACTGCTTAAAAATATGTATGTGTGTGCGTGTATATGTGTGTGTGTGTGTGTGTGTGTGTGTGTGTGTGTGTGTGTGTAATACATGTACGTATTCGGGAAAGTCATCACACATTTTTGCATAGAGAAGTATGTCATGACTTTCCCAATGACCTAATATTATTGTTTTTTGTCCATACTGACACAGTTAACTGTAGTCTAGTCTAACTGATCCAAACTACGAATCAGGAAAGAAGATATGATTCAATTCTATAAAATAGTGATCCAATATTCATTGGATTAACTTTTATTGGTGATCTGCTAGGAAGCTTAGACATAAGCAGAATAGATTACATGAGGTAAACACTGATTCTTTACCAGACTTAAGGATATTAATGTTAGTGGAATTTGAAACTTAAGATAGTCTTGATGTATGGGACACTTCTTTGTACGGTAAGCAAAAACCTATCAAAGGTCAATATGCTAGAGAGTAATCAGGTTGAAATGATATATTTGAATTAAGTATTCCTTAGAGTACTGAGGAAAATGAGGACTTTCTCTGTATATCCCAATATATTCCTAAGTTTAAGAAGTTAGGAATCTTAGCGAATGACACTGTTGGGGAGAAAATACTCGAATGAAATAACAAGTGTTCTGACCCAGAGGGGTATTTTTTAAATGTTCTCTTGGTTCTCAAGAGAACCAAGAATAAATCATCAGTACATCACAGATGGTTCCAATAAACTTCACCAAATGAAAGGGAAAAAAGAGAACTAATTATACCCAAAAGTTGGAATGGAAACTTTTTATAGATGGTCTCAGTTTGGAAATAGAATTAAGAAATGAGAAAACATTGGCTAGAACTCACACAGCTTTTTGTATAAGCCAGAGTTTGACTCTCATCAGAGTCTTCCAGTATTAGCAAATTTAGAGTTTGCGGTTCATTAGATTCATTTTTTTCCTAGTTGTGGAAAACATTATACATCCTCTTCGGAGATTAGGAATGGTGGGGGGAAGTAATAATAAATATGACGGAGCTTCAGAAAGTTCACAGAAAATGCATATTATGAAAAAAGTATGCATGGATTTCAAAAAAAATTGCACCAAATTAAACTCGTACTTCAGTTCCATTTTCCCACAGACTTTTTGAAGTTCTCACATAAGCAATAGACACTGGAGTCAGGGATAGAGGAAGAAAGAGAAAAGTGACAGGTTAAGTGAAACATCTTTGTAATGAGGTGATGAAATCAGATGTATAACAATTTACTGTAATTTACATAATGCCAAATGAGTAACATGCTAAATTGAAATTATAGACAAACTATTGCAGGCATATGAAGGAGGGAGAAAATAACCCAGAATGACATATGATTAGAAAAGACTTCAAGGAAGAGGTGACATTTGAACTAAACTTTGAAAGATGAGAGTCTTAGTGGTGAAAGCACAGGAGAAGGGCATTCCACTTGAGGGAATGGCATGCTCTAGGGAATGGGGGATGTGACAGGCAATGAAAAGGTAAGTTAGGGCCAGCTCCGAGGCCTGGTGGGTAAGGCAACCGGATCCCACGTTGCTGGCCACACAGTTGAGTTCTGGACTAAAACAGCTTGAGAAACACACCAGTCATGTGTGTATGCTTGTGCCTAAAATCCCCAAATAGGGGAGAGATGGAGGAGAAGGAATTATGGTGTGACCATTCCCATGAGAGTGATTTCTCTTTTCCATCTCTCTTTGTCCTTCTGCCTCTTTCTGATGAGTACAGTACCCTCTAGCAAAAAAAAAAAAAAAAAAAAAAAAAGAAAGAAAGAAAAGGAAAGAAAACGGGCTACTTTATGAAAATCCATTAATGTCTTACTAATGTAAGTCTAGATCTTAATTATATGTCCCTTAGGTTCATTCTCTAGGCCAGCAGTCTTTATTCTATCAATAATGAATGTTTTTCAACTGAAGTACTCTATCAATAATGAATGTTTTTCATCTTTGCATTTCAGAAAATATACCTCTCTACAACATTTTTAATAATACCCCATCTTATAACTCTTCCATGTGTTCCAACAGGCTGATGTTCATTTTTCTGATAAGAGAAATTGCTAATACTATAAATTGGCATTCCTTATGTTCTACGAAGAATCATGTCTATTTGGGTATATTAACATTTAATGTTACTATGAGTTACCCAGGGACTATGCAAATAATATCATTCAACGTAGAACAAAGTGAATAATCACACTGGTATCCTTGTTTGCTATTTCCTTTATATTTGTAAATTCGATATTGCAAAGTAGCCCATTTTCTTTTTTTTTAAAGAATAATTTTATTTAACTTTATTTATTTATTTGTTTGTTTGTTTGTTTATTTGTTTATTTATTTGTTTGTTTGTTTGTTTGTTTATTTTAATTTGACCAGAAAGGGACAGAATAAGAGAGAGAGAGAGAGAAAGCAAGCCACCAGGTCTGGGAATCAAACCATCGTCGGCCATATGAGAATATAGCACCCTTAACCACCATGCCACCTGCCGGTCCCAAGTAGCCCATTTTCTTTTTTTTTTTGGAGAGATTTTTGCTATAGGGCGCGTGCACTCGCCAGACAGACAGAGAGAGACATAGAGACAGAAAGTGAGAAATCACCCCCCCAGGGGGGATGGTCACGCCGCAATCCCTTCTCCTCCATTCTCCTCTCGGGATCTTGGGCACGCACGCACACGCACCCGGCGTGAGTTTTAAGCCACCGGGTCCGGTACGCGAACCGCGGTCGACTACGTGGGAATCCAGCGACATAGCCATTACGCTAACTGCTGGTTCCCCCAAGTAGCCCATTTTCTAAATTACAGGAAAAATATTGTATTCTTGAATCTGAATTTCATACAAATACTATCATCTTATAAAGAATAGTGCATTCTTTATTATTCAGAAAAATGTTGTTGCTACTAATTGGTAATAAAATACCTTGAAGTTTTATTTAAAGTTTGGATTAGTTTGGATTTGTTTTTGAGATGTTTGATTTTTCTTTTTTGGAGAAGTTTTTTTGTTTGTTTGTTTTTGTTTTTTTGTTTTTGGTTTTTTTTTTTTGCTATAGGGTGCGTGCACTCGCCAGAAAGACAGAGAGAGACAGAGAGATAGAAAGTGAGAAATCACCCCCCAGGGGGAATGGCCATGCCACAATCCCTTCTCCTCCATTCTCCTCTCGGGATCTGGGGCACACATGCACCTGGCGTGAGTTGAAGCCACTGGGTCCGGGACTCGAACCGCGGTTGGCTACATGAGAGTTCAGCGACATAGCCATTATTCTAACTGCTGGTCCCAAGATGTTTGATTTTTCTTATCTACTGAAATGTTGTTCTTTGTTTTAAAAAATATTATTGTAATTTTTTAAATTTGTAGATAATGGTCAATGTAAAAAGTTACATACATTCTTCAGGGATGTCATTTTTCTCCTGTCCTCAAAGAACATTACAGAAAAGCATTTTTTCAAGAATTTAGATATTCAAACTTTTTAAAAATTTTTGCAGGGGCCCGCAGGTGGTGTAGTGGTTAAGGATACTGGATTCCTACATGGGCAACCACGGTTTGAGTCCGGATCTGGAGGCTTGTATTCTCACTTTCCCTCTTTCTCTCTTTCTCCCTCTGGAGATAATAAAATAATTATTATTTTTTTAAAAAATAGATTTTGCACTAGAATCATAAAAACTAGTATTATCATCAATTGAAATGGTAAATGATATCTTTTTAAAAATTTAATCAGTTTATTTTTAAAATTTTTGTCATAGGGCACATGGTCTTGCAGGAGACAGACAGAGGTAAGGAAAGGCTCCCTGGGGAGACACGGGGATGACCAGGCTGCAAGCCCTTCTCCTCCATGCTCCTCTTGGGATATTGGGCAGGCATACAAACATGCCCTGCATAATTTTCAAGTCACTGGATCAGAGACTCCAGCTACAGTTGGTAATGTGAAAGTCCAGTTCCCCTAACACCACGCCACCTGCTGGCCCCCCATTTCTCTACCTGCTGGCCCTCCCAGAGTGATCCTTTGTGTTTTTTTGTTTTGTTTTGTTTTGTTTTGTTTTGTTTTGTTTTGTTTTGTTTTTAAGGGAGATTTTGCTATAGGGTGTGTGCATTCGACAGAGAGACAGAAAGCGAGAAATCACCTCCCAACAGTGATGGCCACGCCACAGTCCTTCTTCTCCATTCTCCTCTCAGGATTTTGGGCATGCACACACACACTCCGGGCTTGAGTTTGAAGCTGCCAAGTCTGGAACTTGAACCATGATCGACTACATGAGGGTCCAGTGACATAACTATTACCCCATCTGCTGGTCCCCAGAGTGATCTTTTAAAAGGATAAGTTAGGCTGTGTTCATTTCTTGCTTTAAACTTTCCAAAGGCATCTCGTCACCCTGAAAATAAAACCAAATTCTAACTTTGTTTTACAAAGCTGCGTAAGATGTGCCCCTGACCTTCTCTCTACTCTTGCCTTATTTTACACCTCTCACTACTTTAACCCTGCATTCCAACCACACTGACTTCATTTTCCTTCTAACTCACTAAGCTTGTTCTTACTTTGGAGACTTTACACAGCTAGTTCCCCTTGCCTGGAACACTTTGCCTCTTCATTTTAATCTAAAGTCAAGTAAATTAAATAATCACTTACATACTCTAAAATTTAGTAGTCACACTATATAAACTCTGTTGCCTATTTTATTGTTTTTGATTTTCACAATACTTCTTAGCATATGAAATTGTCTTTTATTGTTTATGTTCTGCCACCTCCCTACACTAGACACCTTCTGAAGGTGATGATTGCAGTGACTTTGTCATATTTACTGTGGTACTCCTGCATCTGGAATAGGCCAGGCACACCGAATATCCAGTGGGTATCAAATGAATGGTGTTTGAGTGGACTGTGACAACTGGTATCTGTATTTCCGCTGGCAGCATGGGAAGATAATTTTGAGACCACTAATATTATTTTTAATAGGATTAACAGAATTCTCTGTTTCTCTCTCATTTATGCTTTAGATACGAAGCCCCACAGATTGCCTTGCGTTGTGGGATTATGCTGAGAGAATGTATTCGCTATGAACCACTTGCCAAAATCATCCTCTTTTCTAACCAATTCAGAGATTTTTTTAAGTATGTGGAGTTATCAACATTTGATATTGCATCAGATGCCTTTGCAACTTTTAAGGTAATTTTCCCCCAAAATCAGCTATGTCATTTAGTTAAAGTCATTGACCTCTAAAGAGGCAATTTTATTTTAAAAAGCAAAATATATATACATATATATAATATATAGACCTTAGCATAGTCAACCATGTATGATATGGATCCTAAGTTAGAGGTATTAATAGAGTGCACCCTATAAGGCCAACCTGTGACAATGTGGAAAAAAAAATAACCTCAAAATATGTCATAGGTTTACAAGAAGTGAATTCCAATATATAGAGTTAAGTGACAAAAGGAACACATAATACTCTGTTTATAGCATACTGTCATTTATGTTCAAAATTTGTTAAAGCTTACATGAGGGATTTTTTAAAAGTTCATAAAAATGCATATTATGAAAAAACTGATGGAGTTCACAGTGTTTTTGCACCAAAATAAACTTGTAATATGTTTTATAAATATATATAAAATAAAAGATATATGAGAAAGAACAACAGTAGAACAGTGGTTACTTCCAGAAAAGAAACTGGGTAGTGGACGGAGATGGAGAATTAGATCTGTGAAAGTGAAGAACATCACATTATTTTGTTAGGGTCATTATTTTATTTTATTATTTATTTGTTTATTAGGGTTAAGTACATTTACACTGTTGTGCAAATCATAGCCAGAAACTTTTTATCTTGCAAAACTAAAGCTCTATGTCTGTTCCCATTAAACATCAACTCCCCATTGCCTTCTCTCCATCTGGGAAGAGCAACCAATCTGAGCAAACGTGGTGACCTTTAGACACATACAGAAATGCTGTTCTGTGAGCTGTCATTTTCATGGTGATAAATGCAATTTGCATGTGAATATACTAGTTAACAAAACTGCAGAGCAGTATTGGGTTAAAGTAAGCCACATGTATTTATCAAAATTTGCCCCAAAAGAACAGAGAAATTACATGTTGCTAGCTGTCCTCACATCTTCAGCCGATTAATATCCAAAAATAACTGACTTTCCATCCCATTTCCTCTTCCTTCATTTTCTGCCCTTTAAATGAAGAAACCTGGGACTGGTTTGGGGTCCCAGCTATCTCGGCAGAGGAGTTGGGCCCACCTAATCCTTTCTTTTCTATACTTGTATGCGTTTGTTTATTTTTATGTCTATTTTGAATCCACAGCCCTCCTACTCAGAAAAATGTGTTCTGCCGAGTGAGTCCTGGCAAAGTGGTGCCCAATGTGGGGTTGCCTGATAGAGATCTCTGATAGTCTGTGGCTTTTTAGAAGCCTCTGTCTGGCTTGATTGTTCTGTGTCCCCTGAGAGAACATTGAGAGTGATCCTACTCTTTGACAGAGCCAGGGCTGGCCCCATATCTCATTTCCTAAGGGCCCTAGCAGCCTCCCATCTAAATCTGGAATCTACATTCACTGGCTCAATGCCTTCCTCTCCAGCATCTAGGACATGTCGCAGGGACCTGCATGGGTACTAGTATCATGCTTTTGGTTCTCTGTTAGAATATTCCCTTGATTGTTTTGGATATTGACAGTCACATGTCATATGTCCTGGTCTGTTGTGATTGAAACAATTACCCTTTGATTTCTTTTGCATAACTTCCTTTAATGTAGCTGCTAAAGCCATGTGCTGAATTTGTGGTTCCGCAATGTTCTGACAAAGTCTAAAGAAATTAGCAACTGTCCCTTTTTGTGTGTGTGTGGAGTAATAGCGGTTTTCCATCCTCTAGCAATTATTCTACTTTCTGTTTCTGTGCATGCTACCATCAAAAAGATATTCAGAAATCATCAGAAAATAGTAGAGTTAAATTATAAACAAAAATACCAGAACTTATACATCCAATGAGTAGTGTTATCTTCAAGCTTTATATTTTAGAAAGCCATTTACTAATTCTTATGATCCTATCATTATTTAATATGCTTTGAAATGGGTATTAATGTGACATGTTCATTTTTCAATAATGGCAAATTTTTATCCTTTGAGAGCAAATAAAAGTTTTGGAAACAAAAAGTCATTAGTGAACAAAGTATCAAGTTAGCTAGAATTATTTTTGGTTTTGGTAATAATAATAATTAAAATGATAAAAAAATTTTCCAGATGACCAAAATAGAGTCTGGTTTTCTTCAGTGTGTACCAAATTAGTTCTGAAGGCACTTTTAGAAGAGGAATTCCAAAAACATAAGTTGATGATGTAACAACATAATAGAAAAAAATACATTTTCAGGTTGAATATAAAATAGATAAGACTCATTTAAATGTATATATTCAGATTCACTTCTTTAAAGCATTTCAGCAATTTAGTCATTTCATTTACATAATTCCAAGTTCACTTCTACTTTTTTCAGGTTATAAATTATACTTTAAAAAATAATTTTTACTTAATTATAACTCATGTATGACTTTATTTTTTATACTGAAATACATATTTAAACAGTATTTAAATAACTCACAGACTAATATTAATATATACCTGCTTTTATTACTTTATGGACAGAGTTTGAAAGTTGCCTCTAACTCTAATGATAATTCTTTTTAGTAGCTCCCAGAGATAGAAAAAGGGACAGCACTGGTTTTCAGTGCTGGAAACATACTGCCTGCACACTTGAGATTTACAGTGTGTTGTTCTAAGAAGGTACCTGAAACTTGTTAAAGGGTCCATTAACTCATGTAGTCACAGGAAGTGTAAGAGTGTCAGGGAGCAGAGAGAGTCAATAAAGGGTCAGACATTTGAGTGGAGCAGGAGGACAGGGAACCTAAGGAGAAGACGATATACTGGCAAAGGGAAAGGGGAAGAGAATGGTTCATGTGCAGACCAGCTCTGCAGTCCAGGCAGTGAGAGGGACTTGCTATGATGGAGAAGATGAGAAGGGAGCAGTGGTGAGTAGGCTCCATCTTAAAGCAGCCTGGTTAAAGGAAGGCAAGTCTGGGAAGATCTTTAAGGCAATCAAGACATCCCTGGATATATAAGAGATGAAGAAAATGGAATAGACAAGAATGCCTGTTAGAAAAAAATGCTGTTTGAGGATGAGAGGAATATTTGGAAGCCCATGTGGATTAGATGGAGGGTGGATCCCAAGCATACTTAAGCAATAGCTGGTTGTTACAACTGCCTGTGAGGAGGGTGAGTCTAGGTAACTGTGGCCCTTTTCTGTCACAGAGTGCGCAGGTTTGGGATTAGTAGAGGAAGCCAGCTGCCATGCCATCATTTCCCGAAAGTGTCAAGCGAAGCTGCAGTAAACCTGGACCACATCTAGCATCTGGGTTGAGGGGTAGCAGTCTGCTCACGTGTTCTACCTGTCTCCAGCCACACAGTCAGTCTGCTCCCTGAATTTACTCTGCGGACAGGAAGGTGGAGAGAAAGAGAAGGGGCATTAAAGAGAAGAGGAAAATGAAGGAGCTAAATACATGGAGTAAGGAAAAAGAAAGCTTAGGCTAGACAGTGGCACAGTGGCTGTGAAGCTGAGCCACACGAGCAGGTTCTCAGTTCAGGTTTGGTGACTTCCCTGAGTGCCTATGATCCAGGGCTAGAAGAGACCCGGAGTGAATCAAGATCCTGTTTGGGATGCTATCTTTTTGTTTCCCTCCCCTCTCTTTTGTCTTGCTCTCACAGAAGAAAGAAATAGATAAAAATTTTATTTAAACTTAAAAAAAAAAAATCTCACAAGAACAGCGAAGAGTGAAGAAAGAAGAGAAAAAGGGAGGAAAGGCCTGAGAACAAACTCTACAGAAGAGTTTGGGTGCAAGAATAGGGGCAAGACAGCAAGCATGAGTGTGTGCTTGGAGTGCTGTCTAGAGGCAGGAGCCTTGTCCATTTCACACACAACTCAACCTTACCCAGTAGCTGCACAGAGAAACTGCCAGAAAGAGTAAAGCTAGAGCACAAGGTGAGATAGGCCTCACTTGCCTCATATGTGAAGAATAGCATTTAATACAAAGGGTGGTTCCATTTCTTTCTAGCACAGTATCTGTGCCTAAACAACTAAGGAGGTGTTTTCTAATAATAGACACTGGAGTCCCATTTTTTATTTCCTTTTCTATCAGATGGCTCTTTGCTGTCATGGAAACAAGCTAGTTCCTTTTTTAAAAAATCATAAGTAACACTTCACATAATTACAAACATAGAGCAAGTTCTAATGGAGGGGGGAAGCAATTACTTTATGTATTTTTTAAAATAAAGTTTGAAAGTAAATTTCCTTGAAGATTTTTTCAACACTTAATAGAGTAAAATGTTCTCTTTTAAAAAAGTATTTATTTATTTATCCACTCATTTATTTTTTAATTTTACCAGAGAGAGAGATTGAGAGAGAGAGGAAAAGCAAGCAACCAGGTCCAGGACTCAAACTGTGGTCAGCTATGTGGGAGTGTCCAGTGCCTTAACCACCATGCCAAACTGCTGGTCCCAAGTATAAAATGTTCTTGATAAAAATTTGTGATCCAATATTCAACCCTGATCATTTTCTTTTTAAAATTATTTTGTTTTACTTTATTTATCCATATATTTATTTATTTTAATTTGACCAGAGAGGGACAGAGTGAGAAAGAGAAAGAGAGAGAGAGAAAGAGAGAGAGAGACTGACTGACTGAGAAAGCAAATTGCCAGGTCCAGGACTTGAACTGCAGTTGGCCATGTGTGAGTCCAGCACCCTTAACCACCACGCCACCTGCCAGTCCCTAACCCTGTATAATTTTTCAAGAATAACATTGTATCACAAAAATAAATCACTTGGATTTTGTATTTCAGTTTATATTCCATTGAACTTAAGTCAATTCCTAGAAAATCTAAACAACATAAAGTTTTTTAGTATGCTAACTGTATTGGAAACAGGAATTTTCTAAATTTTACTGGAATACTTATGGCTAATATAATGTAACAATGACCAGAAGTCACTTTTTTTTTTTTTTTAAGTAGTGGATTCGAAGAGTTTTGTTTGGTTGATTGGTTTGGTTTTATTTTGCCTTTGGCTTTTGGTTTCTTAACATCTTATATTTAACTTTTTTGTTTTCACTATTAATTTTAATCATTGAGGTTAACATATTAGTTCATCTGTATGCCATGTTATTTTCTACAAATAGTCCTTTCCTGGAAAAGATTCTGTACAGCCATAATCTCTTTTATCCCATTCTCTAAATATCTACTTAATGGAAGTGGTTTGAATTCCATCTCTCTGCCACTTGACTAGCTGTGTTTCCTGGAGCAAGTTAACTTTTGAGTTTTATTTTTCTTACCTAAGAAATGAAGAAAATGATACCTGATTTGCAGAGTTGTGAAGATTACAAGTAACATTTGTAAAGTGCTCAGGTCACTCTCTGGCACATAGTAAACTCTCAACGAATGGTAGTTGTCACTGGTTCATCATTCTCATGTCCCTGCAGTTGAGTTTCTGTTACTTCACACCTCACAAGCAGAATTCACTAGTAATATCAATATCAGATTGTTTTTAGCAAAATACTTAGACTAGAAAGCTTAATCATGTCATAAAAAATAGGAGGTCAGATGAAAAACTACAAATCATTTTAATTTTAAATTATTTTGGTTTTGGGGACCAGCCGATAGCATAATGGTTACATCACTGAACTCCATGTGGTCAACCGCAGTTAGAGTCCCGGACCTGGTGGCTTAAAATTCACACTGGGTGCTTGTGTGTGCATGCCCAAAATCTGGAGAGGAGAATGAAGGAGAAGAGATTGAGGCGTGGCCATCCCCACCGGGGATGATTTTTCACTTTCTGTCTCCCTCTGTCTTTCCAGAAAGCCCACATGCCCTATAACAAAACTCTCTCTCTAAAAAAAAAAAATAAAAAAAATAAAAATAAATAAAAAAAAAATTATTTTGTTTTGAATTTATTTTCCTTTGCAATGTTCTGCTTTTTTCTTTTTTTTTTTTTTTAATAAGATCTTAATTAGTTTTGTTTTTTTTTTTTTCCCACTCACTTAATGTTTTATATTCAAGCAGCAATTATATTTGTCTGGGCATTATGAGTATGTAAGCATGTGTGTATGTATACATGGTATAATTCTTCCAGTTTTATGCACACATTTAGTATATACAAATATTTGAGGGTATTTCCATGTATATATCTTCCATGGGTGTATCACTTATTGGCTATATCCGCCATACATGTATGTTAGAGGAATTGTCCCCTACCATATTATAGTTTCTGATTATTGGAATTTTAGATTATTTCAAGTTTTTTTTTTTTTTTGAGAGGTTTTGATATATGGTGCATGTGCTCGCCAGAAAGATAGAGAGAGACAGAGAGACAGAAAGTGAGAAATCACCCCCCCCAGGGGGGATGGCCACACTGCAATCCCTTCTCCTCCATTCTCCTCTTGGGATCTTGGGCACACATACACATGTGCCCAGCATGAGTTTAAGCCACCAGTCTGGGACTCGAACTGAGATGGACTATATGGGAGTCCAGTGACATAGCCATTACGCCAACTGCTGGTCCCGGTTATTTCAAGTTTTTCCCTCCCCTTTGGATTGAAAGTTCTGGTTCTAACAGAACTCCCTCCTGATTCTTTTTTTTTTTTTCGCCAGAGTTTGGGGGATAACATGGCCTGTCCAGGCAGCACTACTCTGCAGAGTATTCTCCCTCTTGCTGCTGTCACTGCATGTGCTGGGTCCAAAGCCGTGGGAGAGCCCAGTCCTCACTTTCAAGGCTGACAACTATTGTAACAGATAGAGATATTCTGCAAGTGCAGCATCTGTGTTGTCTGCTGCAGTCCATAATGAGACCCCCTTCTACCTGGGGTCAGCTCAGAAAATCCCTGCTACTGCTCAGGAGGTTCCTATGAGATGAGGGAAGAAGGACCTGAAGACAAAACATACCAGATATCCTCTTAGAAAACAATTGGTTAGAGGGCAGACCATAGCACAGCATTAAAACTTAACACTTTGTGAGGCAGTCCTTCATGATTCAATGCTAGAGACCTCCCTGAATACGCTGGGCATGCACACATCCACGATCCAGGGTGGGCTGAAGCTGGGGGTGGATCTCAGCATCACTCTCTTGCTGGCTGCTGTCTCTCTTTCTCTCTCTCTGTCACTTCTCTGTCTCTCTCTCTCTGTATCTCTCTCACTCACTCACTCAGTGAAGAAATAGACTTTTTTTAAAAATCAAAAATATTAGGGAACCCGTAAGATATTATAGAACTGTATGGTGTGGACCCCTCTGAGAGGTCCCCTGATATAGGAACTAGTTTGAATACAGGTCTCAGACATGCTGGAAATGACACCCCTGTACAAGATATTCCTATCGTAAAACTGGTTCTAGAACAATGTTGAATGCTCTGTACCACTGGGGAAAAAAAGGTCTGTGTTTCCACTGATGGGCCCTGTTTTCAATCAAGTTATGTGATGATACGTAATCGGAAGCTAAGAACCAGCTTCATTGTCTTTGAACTTGGAAATAGTAGTGTACAATGGTTTAAACATTTCACTTTTTCTTTCATTAAATTAGAAATAAGTGGGTTTTAACAGTGCTGCTGCCTGCCTTTTCTCTACAGATGTGTTATGTATCTTCTTTATACTTTTAGGAAGTTTTAATTAAATATGTATTAAGGTATAAGAGTTTATTTTGGAAAACTTAAAAATTCTTGTTAATATTTTTAATTAAATTCTGCATGGGACCTAGGTGGGGTATTTAGTCTCTAAGCGTATAAAAGGGATTAGGTAAGGCTTGTTTTCTTTCAACATTAAGGTGATTTAAAGATATAATTAGGCGTGTGGAAAAAAATGTTCTTTCATGTTTTTGTTCAGTTTTCTGTAAGTTTTTCCTGCAATAAGATAGGGCTGCTTGTCTTCAACTTTGAAAGGATGCATTGTGTTTCTAAGTAAATTGCACAGTACATTATAGCCAATGAACCCGAAAACAGAATGACCCTGATTGACAATGTTGAATGTCGCTCCTGTGTTTTACAGTTTCTGAGGTGCTTCCACTTTCACAAAGATTAAGAAAAAACAGAAAAGTTTAGGTCCTGGAAAAATCCACCTTTAGGTCTCTTCTCTTTAAAAGGATTATCAGCTGAGTGGTGACTCAGCAGTAAAACATAATCTCACATGAGAAGGTTCCTGATTCTAATTTGGAGACCTTCCTGAATATACCAGGCACAGGCATGCTAATGATACCAGGCTGGCTGAGGATGGGGATGGATTGTGGCATCAAGACTGTCAGAGTGTTGTCTCTCTCTCTCTTTCACTTTCTCATAGAATGAATGAAGGAATGGATGAAATAATAGAAAAGAATTCACTGTTAGTGACATTTAGAAAAGATCATTTTAAACTTTATCTGAATATTAGTTTTATCCTAATCACAACGTAGATAGAGTTCATGACTTGAAGAAATATTCCGTAAACTTATCTCTTCAGTGCCATTTGTTTCACAAGTTAAATGATTTATATGATAAATATAACAATGACATGAATTTTAAACACTTGGTTTAACACTGTTTTTAAAAAAACACAAAACAAACCTGTATTTCATGTCTTTAAGAATGGAAATAATTTTGTAGTGTAAGTGAAAATGTTTTGCAGTGTAAATGAAAATGAAAAGTGAATGGTATATAAAATCAGAAGAAAAAGGGATATTTGTAAATTTATTAACTATAAAAATTTTGTTTCACTTGATTGGTCTTTTTCTAGGATTTATTAACCAGACATAAAGTGTTGGTAGCAGACTTCTTAGAACAAAATTATGACACTGTAAGTAGAAATCATTTTTAAGATTTTACCCTATTTTTTCTTCCTCCCTTTCCTTCCATCTTATATCTATGAGCAGTCACTCCAATTTATCTATAAGAGAAATCAGCTATATTCATCCATACTTTTGATATATGTATTTACCTGAACACCAGATTATTAGGAAACTCTATAGAAAATTGAAGATGATAGGCGCTCAGGGCTTTCTTTATCATGTCTCCTCCTATTGTGAACTACACTCCACAAAACAATTAACATTTGTATGCTGTGAGTTTCAGTTAATGATACTCCTCTTGCCCTTAAGAGGCAGTAGATAATCCCAAATGAAAGAGCACCCCACCCTAACCACTAAAATAAATCATTTTATGTGGTTGATACTTAGTTTTGCTTACTGAAGGTATACCAAAAAACATCTTTCTTCCAACTTCATGCTTTAAGGGTGAACCTATCCATCCTTTTGAGATTGGACTGAAACATTACTCTTTTAGGAAGTTTCCCCTAATACCATCCCTCCTCAAAAATACTCTCTCATTTTTCACATTGTATTATTATGGTGTATCTGTATCTTTCTGGCTGACCCTTGAGCTCCCTCAAAGGCAAGAAGCCTATCTGAAGAAAATAGGGTTCAGAGTATTGTATAGAAGGTAGGGTCTATGTGCTTACTCAGCTTTAAGACCCAGTTCTGCCTCCCTACCAATTGTGTGATTATGGTAAAATTACTGCACCTAAAGCAAAATGAAAATGGTAATAATGCCTACCTCATAGGATTGCTGAAGAAATTGAGCAAGATTAAAAGTTTTTACTACAGTACCATAGTAACCACTCAGTCTTAGTTTTTATCAGTATTTCTGTATCCTAACACTTAACTCAATGCCTTAGGCTGTTCTTTGCCCCCATTCCTGACACTATATAAGTTACCACAAAAATTAGGAAGAAATAGGTACTTCACCAGATGCCTAAAAATTAGTGCAGAGACACAAGAAATATGAGAAAACAAGGAACTATCTCTCCCCCAAAGGAACATAATAACTTCTTACCAACAATGGATAAAATACAAGAAATCACAGAAAATCTGAAAAAGAATTGAGAATATCAGTCATAGCAAAACTCTGAGCTTCAAGAGAAAAGAGTCAGTTCCAGAAGATAAGAAAACCATTCCATGACATGAAGGAGGAATTCCATAAAGAGAAAGAGATTCCTAAAAAAAGAATCAAACAAAACTCCTGAAGAATACAATACAGGAAATAAAAATTTCCTATAAACTTACTAACAGCAGATTAGACTACATAGAAGTAAGAATCTCTGGATTTGAAGACAAAAATTTATTTAGTCCAAGCCACTAAGAATGAAAAAATAACCAAAAAGAAAAAAGAAAGAAAGACAACATACGGGGAATTCTTGACATTATAAGTTGACTGAACAGCCTCATGTATTCCAGAAGGTGAAGAGGTGGGTAAAGGCATAGAAAATCTCTTTCATGAGATACTATCTGAAAACTTTCTAAATCTAGAGAGTCATATAGATATCCACATTCAGAAAATAGAACACCAAATAGATTTGGCATAAGGAGGACCTCTTCAAAGCACATCATAGCCAAATTGGTAAAACTCAAAGACAAAGGCAGTATTCTAACAATGGCAAGAGAGAAATGTCTAGTTACTTACAAAGGTTATACTCTCAGACTAATCTCAGACCTCTCACCTTAAACAATGCAGGCAAGGAAAGAATGGGAAGACATATTTAAAACTCTGAAAGAAAAGGAAATTCCAACTAAGGATACTATGCCCAGCAATATTATCCTGCAAGTGCGAAGAAAAAAATAAATAATTCTCAGATAAACAAAATGTGAACTTGCCAACACTACACCAGCTCTTCAGGAAATATTTAATGGAATACTAAACCAGGAACATTAAAGAATGACAAATAGAAATCAGAGAACCTAAAACGACTAAGAAAGTGACTAACAAAATGGTTTTGTAAGTTTTCAAATATCAAGAATAATGTTGAATATTAATGAATTAACTTCTCCTATTAAAAGATACAGATTGGCTAAATGGATTAAAAACAAACAAATGAACAAAACAAAACAAAACAAAAAACAGGAGCTCTCTATATGCTCCTTACAAGAAAAACAACCCACTAATAAAGACATACATAAACTGAAAATGAAGGGCTGGAAAAAGTAATTTCATACAGAAACCTAAGAATGACTGGAGTCATGATAACTGACATCAGAACAATATAGACTTTGAGACAGCTGTAAAAAGAGACAAAGAAGGACAGTATGTAGTACTATAAGTATTGATTCACCAAGAAGTTATATCAACTATAAATACTAACACACCCAGCACCTGGACGCACAGATAAGTAAAAGAAAGACTGCTAGATCTAAAGGAAAAGATAGACTGCTCACACTACTTAGGGATTTCAGCATCCCACTGTCACCACTGGACAGATCATCTACACAAAAAATAAACAGACACATGAGCTAAATGAACTAAATGGACCTGACAGACATTTATAGAACATTTCACTTAACAACCACAAAATATACGTTTTTCTCAGTCCTGCATGTAACATTTTTGAAGATTGATCACATCATAGGGCACAAAACAAGCTTTTAGAAATTTAAATATACAGAAACTGTGTCCAGCATCTTGTTTGACTACAATAGAATTAAACTTAAAATCAATAGTAGAAAGAGCCTTTTAAAATACACAAAACCATGGACACTAAATAATCTATTTCTGAGCTTCTTCAAAACTACTGAAAAAAATTAAGACAAATCAAAAGATTTATTGAAAACAATAATAACAAAGACAAAACTCTCCATGATCTTTGGGACACAGCAAAAGTAGTTATAGCAATTAGCACTCACAAGAAAAAAATAGATAGGTGGTAAATAAATTAGCACTCACAAGAAAAAATAGATAGGTGGTAAATAAATAGCCTAAAGATGCATCTCAAGGAACCAAATTAACCCCTGAAGATATCAGAAAACAAGAAATAATAAAGATTAGAGCAGAAATAAATGAAATAGAGAAAAAAAGAACTATACAGAAAACAAATCCATGAAACAAAAAGATGGTTATTTGAGAGAATGAATACAATTGACAAACCATTAGCTAGACTAACCAAAAATAATAGAGATGAACCAGATAAATAAAATCTGTAACAAAATAGCCAATATTACAGCATATATAACAGAAATACAAAAGATAATGAGAGAATACTGAATGACTATACACAAATAAACACACAAACAAACAAAAAAACTAGATAAAATGGATACATTTATGGACACAAAATTTACCTAGATTGAACCAGGAAAATATAGAAAGTCTGAATGGACCAATAACAAGCAATGAGGTTGAATCTGTAATCTTCCAACAAAGAAATAATCTTCCAACAGAGAAAACCAGTGACTTCACTTCTGAATTCTATAAAACTTTTAAAGAAGAATAAAGTGGGAGACATCTCACTACCTGACCTCAAAATGTATTACAAAGTTGTGATAATCAAAATATTATGATACTGGCACAAAAACAGACAGAATAGAGAATCCAGAAATAAACCCCAAAACATACAGCCAATTAATTTTTGACCAAGGACACAAGACAATCCAGTAAAGAAAGTCTTTACAGGAAATGGTACAGGAAAAACTGGATATCCACCTGCAGACAAATGAAATTGGACTCCTATCTCTCACCATTAACAACACTCCACTCAAACTGAATCAAAGTTCTAAATGTAAAACCTACTGGTGGAAAACACAGGAGAAACACTTGAAGATGGTGGAGTAGACAAAGATTTCTTAAATGAGACTCCTAAAACACAGGTAACAATTCCAAAAATAGTGAGATTACATCAAGCTAAAAATCTTCTGCACAGCAAAGGGAACAATAATTAAAATGAACAGACAGCCCACAGAATGGGAGAAAATATTTGCAAAATATGCTTCAGATAAGGGACTATAACTAGAATATATAGAGAATTCAAGCAGCTCACCCACAGGAAAAGGAACAATCCAATTTAAAAATAGGCAAATAAATTGAACAGACGACTCTCTAAGGAAGACATACCAATGGCCAAAAAACATATATAAAAAAAAAAAGCTCAGCATCTCTTATCATAAGAGAAATGCAAATCAAAATCACAATGAGATATCATTTAACCCTAGGCGGAATAGCTAAGATTTAGAAAATAAAGAATGGTAAGTGCTGGCAAGGCTGTGGTGAAAAGAGACCCTACTACACTGTTGGTAGGAATGTAAATTAGTACAGCCATTGTGTCAAACAGTATGGAGTTTCCTCAAAAACATATGAATAGGAGTCCCATTGACCCAGTAATATTGCTTCTTGGTATATACCCAAAAGATAGGAAAACAGTCAGAAAAATACTTGCACCTCCATGTTTATTGCAGCATTATTCACAATTGCTAAGAATAGAATCAGCCTAAATGACCAAGAACTGATGACTGAATTGAAAACTGCATATATACTAGGTAAAGCTACTCAGCCATAAAGAACAATGAGACTCTATCATTTAATACAAAAATGGATGAATATATAAAATTTAATGATAATCGAAACAAGCTAGACTATGAAAGAAAAACGTTGTATATCCTCACTCAATATATAAAGAATGTCTGCACTCTATGGTAGAAATTGAAAGATACGAAGATAGAATAGTAGGGAGGGCAAGTGTAGATACCCGAGACTGTAGAGGAAATGGGTGGATAGTAGGGGATGGGAGAGAGGGGCTCAGAAAAGAAACATTTAACAGACACAAGAATGTAAAGTTCTCTGTTGGAATGATATATAGGGTAATATCTTTGATTAGATTGTCATACACTATATGCATGCTTTGAAAGACCATATTGTAAAGATGTACAATGATTAAATATAAATAAGAAATCATTAAAAAAGAAGTAGAATAATAAATTATTTTAAAAATACTTACAAGAGATCAAGATAAGGACTAAGAACTGATGATTGAATTTGGCAGAACATGATCCTTTCCTTTAAGGAACTAACAGCACAGTGTGGGTAAGAAAATAAGGAAACAAGTGAATGCTATACCATCACATTAGCTTATATGGATTGAAGATGGTACAAGGAGATCTTGGGGAGTAGATATGCTTTTGCATTTTGGTAGCTAGGAAGAAGGGATAAAACCAGGATTATAATTTTTTTCCTAAAAAAGATATACATTTTTAAATAAATGTAAAATGAAATGAGAATAATTTTTATTGCCAGAGGCATCCCAAAACTTCAGGACTAAAAGAAAATGGCATACTACTGCATTTAAGAAATGAATTATTGTGCCAGCAGATGGCATAGTGGGTACATTGCTGGACTCCTATATGACTGACCTTAGTTCTAGACCCAGACATGTTGGTTGACTATCATACTGTGTGTGTGTGTGCATGCATGCCCAAGTACCGAGGGAGAGAATGGAGGAGAAAGAATTGTGGCATGGTCATCCCCCCCAGGGGGTGATTGCTCATTTTCCCTCTCACTATCTCTGTCTCTGTCTTTCTCTGGCAAGCACATATGACCTATGACAAAAGCCTCTAAAATAATTATCATTATATAGTTTGGTTGGCTAGAGTTTGGAAGAAGAGAGCAAGCAAGCCTTTTAAATTCTAATATTTATTTTCTTTTTATTAGATTTTTGAAGACTATGAGAAATTGCTTCAATCTGAGAATTATGTGACTAAGAGACAATCTTTAAAGGTAATATCATGTTCCTTTAAGTTAGAGTCCCCATAAGTTGATATCTCACTAGCAAATGGACAAGTTTGTGGTGGACAAGTAATATATAGAGAAATTAAAGTATCCCCTTTTTTATCTAATTTTTGAAGTATGTTTTATGTTGTGGCTGCATTTCATAGCAAAATAATGTAAGCATCTTTCTGGAAATACTTTTTGCAAGTAACAATAGAAATAATAAATATATGGCAAAGTAGAATTTAGACTCTATTAAGAAAGAAAACTAAACCAAATGTATACTAACCTAAATAGAGCCATATTTATTTCCTGGGAGATGAAAAGAAATTACTCTTAGAGTGAAATGACAATAGGAATTACTGTCTGTAAGGAATACTCAGTGAGGCTCCTGTAATTTTCTTTTGGTGTATCTTGAAACAGAATAGTCAGAAAGAAATTATTTCATGTCAGCTAGATTAATGAGGGAGCAGTAATCTTTTGCAGAAAAGAGGAGAGGAGGAGCTGGTAGGTGGCATAGGGGTTAATGCACTTGACTTCTACGTGGTCCACCTCCGAGTCCCAGATGGGGCAGCTTAAAACTCACACCCATATGCGCACATTCTCAAATTTCCAGAAGAGAATCAAAAAGGGATTGAGGCATGGCCATCCTCTCTGGGGGGAGGGGGGGTGATTACTTGCTTTCTGTCTCTCTCTCTCTGTCTCTCAGCAAGTGCATGTGCCCTATAGCACTCCTCCCCCCCCCAAAAAAAATAAACAAAAACAAAAACAAGGAGGAGAGGAAAAGATAACAATGTCATACAAAATATCTAAGTTGTAAGCATAGTAGTTCTTCATATATTTATTTTTTAGTATTCTATTTTTAGTATTCCATTTTGAGTAGTAATTGTTTTTACTATGAAATGTTCTTTATAGAGTTTAAGTGTTATGGATTTCTGTTTTATGGAAAGCATTGATCTCCCAAATTTGTAATGTATTTTCCATATATATATATATATATATATATAAATAAAATTGCCAACTCCCGTTCCCTGAGTAGCATAGTTAGTGTTTTACTGCAGGTCATTTAAAATACCTCCACCATTTAACAAGCCATGTTTGAATTATGTTTAAATACAGATTCTGAAATATGAAACATGACTATTCCCTAATAATTAAAAAATAATGTTTAAACAAATAAATAACAGGTATGTAAGAATACTACGTGATCAAATACACAAAACTTTCCTTTATGAAAAGCTACCAGGATTACAGTGAAACAGAACCTGCAAAGATTAAAAGATGATGTATCTAGCTGGCCCAGAAAATAAAGTTAGCTCTTAATTATCTGTAAATAGCTTAGTTGGATGAATTATTGAGAAAGATTGCACAAGGGAGATAACAAGACCTTCCAGTCAACGAATATGGAAGTGTAGCTGCTCTTATTCCAGACACATGGTGACAGCCAAGAAAAGTGCTATGGGCCTCACATTCTGGTGGGGGAGAACAGACAATAGATAAATAAATGTATAACATTCAGGTAGTTTTAAGTACTAAAAAGAAAAGCAGTATAAGAGAGTAGAAAGCTATGATGGGGGTGGGGGCGTTACAGGTTTGTGTCTGTGCCGTGGTAGCTAGAGTGTCAGCAAGACTGCCAAGATAAGATGACCTTTGTGTAGAGGCCTAAATTTGTAAAAAATTGAAATGATTCTGAATAAGTGTGTTACGTGTCTGTAAAAACAAATGACGCTATTTGAGATTGTGACCCTTATGAAATATCTGTGGAAAAGACAGAGAACGCAACAGAGCAAAGCCACATCTGTTCGTGAGTGGCCTGCTCTCCCTCAGTGGGAAGGTACCAAATAGTCATTTGGTCAAGGGGATATTGGGAGGGCTCCTGAGGGGGTGGACACAGGTAGAGCTGCATCTCTGCTCTTCAGATCTCACTCAGATATTTGGAAGGATGTTTTGCACACATAAGATTGACTGTTTTTGACCCCACTGCAGTAGCGTGTGCTGCTAGGATCCTTTGCAGGCCGGGACCACATTGGGGCCTGAGTTCAGTTCTCTAAAACTGAAGAGTTTCAGCTGAGACAGGAGGATGGTGAGCTCGAAGCCTGCCTAAGCAGGCTGCCTAGCACCCTGTCTAAAGAAAAGCTGGGTGTGGTGATACCTGCCTGTAGTCCCAGCTGAGGCCCTGTCTTGAAAACAAAACAAAACAAAACAAAACAAAACAAAACCAACTAATTGACCTTTTTCAGTCAAGCAATTTGTATGATATTCCAACTTTCTAAATGTCAGCTGCATTTTATTTATTTATTTATTTATTTATTTATTTATTTATTTATTTCTTCCTTCCTTCCTTCCTTCCTTCCTTCCTCCCTTCCTTCCTTCTTCCCTTCTTTCCTTCCATGATGGAATGCGAAGACAGACAGTACCCAAACAGGGTCCTGATATTCCTCTCTGTTTCAGCCAGTTCTTGAATATGAGCATGCCTGTACCCAGAGTACTCAGGGAGGTCTCCAGATGCAAACCTGGAACCTTCTCACGTTAGTCAACCTCAAAGAACACTGCATTTTACCACTGCACCACCATCTGGCCTCCTACATTTGTGTTATCTTTGCATTTCGGGACGATGATATTCATAGGACTGTGTGTGTTTTTCTAAATATTAATAAACAATTTAAAGCTAAGGCAATGTATTAAATCTATTTTGTACCACATTTTGGTAAATGTACCTTTTCTTTGACTTTGCATTAGTCATGACCTGCTATCCCCTGTATTTGTACCCTTGCTGCTCCAACTTTACCCATTAATAGAGAGCCCAATTTTCAGCTACTCATTCAACACTCTTTATCGCATTTCACCTTGTGTAAAAACCCGTCCAAGGTGATCCGTCAAAACAACCCACAGGGGCTCTGCCCTCTGTGCTGAGCTTGTGATGAGATGAGCTATGTGTGAACTGACCTCCAGGCAAGAGCAGTGGCCTCAACGCTGTGCTCTCTCGTGTCCAGAAAGCTTGCCCAGAGCAAATGCAGATGCAGCCAAATGCCACAGCTGCCGACCCAAAGCACAGAAGTCTTTATTTGTGAGAGACTCTATAAGGACAGCCAAAATGAAGCAAGCTTGTCCACAGCACAAGAGATGGTGTCTTTGGGAGGGAGGTGATGATTGGAATAATAGAAATGACAATGCTCTAAAGGACCAGCCTATAGGAAATTGCACTTAAATTTTCCAAATCTGATGTTCAGTGGGAATCTGTCAGATACAGGATCAAAGAAGTGAGAGTCATATGAACTAAAGGTGACCGAACCAAATCAGGAGGAAGCAAGCTGAAGATCATAGCTTTCAAAAGGTGTCCATGTACCATTTTCACCCGTGACAAGAACTTGTGACGGAATGTTTTTTGTAGTCAACAACTTAGGCTAAGACACAAAGCTGACAGTTTTAGGGTTTCTCTTTTGTTGTTGTTGTTGTTTTTAACCCAAACATCTCCCTCTGAGCCCTCTTCCCACTGTCTTTGGCGCTAACCTGTCTTCCACCCCTACGCACATACACATCGCTCTCACCTCCCCATCAACGTATCTGTAAAGTGATTATAACAGAGGCTTGCTCATGGTAAGCAGATATTTGTTAAAAGAATCAATTACATGTTATAGAGAAATAATTCTAGCCATTATCCCCCAAATTTATCATCCCCAGAGTTCACTCTCAAAAAGGGGTAGGCCTATTCCAAGTAAACAATTGGGACTAGGGTATGAATGAGACTTATTCCTACCAGGATGTAACTTATTCTTTGTTTGCTTTATATTTTTACTGTAGAGTGTGTGCACTTGCTAGAGAAAGACGGGGCGGGGGGGGGCAGGGGGCGGGGGAAGAGTGAGCTATCACTACCCAGGGAAGATGGCCACGCTGCAATCCCGTCTCCATTCTCCTCTTAGGATTTGGGGCATTTGTGCACATGTACCTAGTGTGTGGTCAAGTGGGATCCAGTGCCTCAACCACCATGCCACCTGCTGTCCCCTTAAGTTTTTATTTATCTGCTCCATGAGAAAGCTAGACTAGAGGTGTAGGGGGAGGACACCCCCAACAGGGTCTTCATGCTGTGATCCACTCGCCTCGTTGGCCAGCCAGGAGGATCACAGGCATGTGCATGCTGGTGTATACAGAGAGAATGCAGGATACCAACCTGGGACCCTCCCACATGTGGCCTCACATTACAGTTCTGCAGTATATACCCTCTCACCACCATGGCTGGCCCCTATCAGGATATATTTAAAGACAGAAGACGGTCCGTCCAGTGACTGTGTGATTGGTACAGTATGTAACGTGATTGGGAGTGTAGCAAAAAGGAGCAGGAAGGACTCTTCTCGCCACCTTCCAGCTTTCTTTCCCCCTCACATGGTACTCCAGCCAGAGACCTACCACAATTCCCAGTGACATGGGCAAAGAACAGATTGTGTTTGTACCTCTACTCAAGCTCTCTTAAATTCTCCCTTTTTCTGCTTATTTCTAAATGCCCCAACCTATTTGTGAGGCATCTTTCCTGTTCTTCGCTAATCTACCCAGACATACTACATTGGCTGCTAGTCCTGCCTAAAATCCTTTACAGTTAAGTGTGTCACAGATAGTTGATTTGCAGCTTAATAAACCGAGCACTGACTGGACAGTGGGGAAAAGCCCTGACAAAAGACAGGTAAAGTATGTGTAAGTGTGTAGAAACAAACTGCCAAAGTGGCCACTGAAGAACTACTTTTTCTGAATACTAGATTATAGGCAGAAGTGCTGTTATAATGGTCGTTGTCTCTTTGCTCATGGAAGTGAAAGGTAGATTACTATGAAATGGTTTCATAGTAAACACTGAGTTCTGTAAATATTGTTCACTCTTCATAAAACAAACAAACAAACAAACAAAATGTTGTTCTGGGACATTCCACTGCTATAACTTTGGTTTTTCATTTGGGGAATTAGGCCTGTGGTAGCAGTATATTCTATTTTCACCTAACCAAATTTATATAGAGATAGATTCA